CTTGTGTACTAAGGAATTTGGACTTTGTCTTGAATACATTGAGGAGTCAGTGAAATATTTTAAGCAGAAGAGTAACACAATTAGAGTTTAGAAGAATCACTCCATCTGCCCTTGGGGAGACAGATTAAAGGAAAGAGTGACTGGGGGCAGAAGGACTAGTTTAGAGACTATTGTTGTAATCATGGAGACACATGATGAGATTCAACTAAAGCAGAGGCAGTGAGCAGGGGGATAGATTAGAGAGACATGAAGGAAATAGAATTGATATAACTTGGTGACTAGATGGATGTGGGATGTGAGAGAGACGGAGGATACCAGGATAATAATGTCCAGTTTTCTGGCTTGGACATTAGCACTGTTTTAGGTGATGAAAAATTATAAGGGAAGAATTAAATGTGTTTTATTCTAGAATTGTTGAGTTCGAGATATCCATATTGCAACATTAAGCAGGCAATTAGATATATTTGTAGAGAAACCAGTAGAGAAATCTGGTAGTGAGAATGAGAATGGATGAAACTGTAGAGAGCAAATGAGTCTAGATTAGTGAGATCAATAGCAGACTGAGAACAGAATTCAGGCCATTGAAAGTGACTGGGCAGTGTTGAAAGGTATAGAAAGTGGTCATTTTGAAAGATAAAGCGAAAGGCATTTTTAGGGAGGGAGTGGTTCAATGTGTCAAATATCGGAGCAAAGTCAAAATAGGAATTGAAAAGCGTCCACTGGATTTGGCGCTTAGGAGGTTAGTGGTGATCATTGTGAAAACAGTTACAGAACAGTGGCATGTGCAGAGACCAGGTTGAGGAGCAAGTGGAGGATGAAGAAATGGAGACCAAACTTGCTGGGAAGTATAGCAGAAAAGACGTGTGATGGCAGGTAGGCAGAGGGATTGTGGTTCAGACCAGAGGGACTTAAGTTAGTTTCAATGCTTTTGAGAAACAGTAGTGTAAGAGAAGAGGCAAATGACAGAGAAAGATCCCTAAGGAGACAAGAAGAGATGAGACTGGATCCAGAGCATTCTCCTTAGATAGAAAGGAGTTAAGATAAGTTTAAAAGTGTATATGCCATGAGTTTATCAGTATCAGGACAGGAAGTTAAAGATGTTTTCTTCTAATGACTTCCATTTTCTCTGAAGTATGAGGTGAGGCCATCTGAGAGGGGAGGTGTCTGTGGTCTGGTGTATCCTGAATGCCTTAGCAAGGATGACATCTAACTGAGCAAGGGGAAATAGTAGATGATGAGTTCATCTTCCTTAATAACAGTCACTTTGCTACAATCAAATAAGGGTTTTGGGTGGATGGATGGCTGCACGGATGGATGGCTGCAAATAAACATACTAAATACGTATTCTATTTTCCTTCACTATACTTTTCCAATGTTTTCAGAAATTTAGTTCAGGATTAAAATTTCTTCGATCCCATATGCATTTAGTAATACTATTCTCATTTGTTACTCATGCTCATTTTTTTAGAGTAGAGTTTCTCAACCTCGCCACTAATTTGACATTTTGGGCTGATAGTACTTGGTTGTGGGGACTGTCCTATGCATTGTAGGATGTTCAGCAGCGTTCCTGGCCTTTCCCCCACTAGATGCCAACCTGCCCCCCACAATTGTGATGATAAAATATTTGCACAGATGTCATAAAATGTCCCTTGGAGGAAAGAATTGCCCCCAGTTGAGCAGCTCTATTCTAGACCAAATGGAAAGGCACTGGAGAGAGAGAAGGGGATTTGTGCTAGACGGGTACTTAGGTACATTTATCAGTCGATCGTGACAATTATACTTGAAGGTAGACATGATTCTCTTTGGCAGACTAGAAAATTAAGGCTCGGAGAAGTTAAATGACTTATGTAAGATGACTGAGGTCATACATGATAGAGCTGGGACTTGAACTCAGTTGTGTTAGATTCCTAACATTTAGGTGCTTTCTTAAACAACAATAAAAAAGACTATCAGAGTTATTTCCTTCTTTTCATTTTTATTATGTTTTTAAAAAATCAAAATAAAGTTAAAATTCAGTACAAAAATTTTAATAATATATAACTTTATAGACTAAAATATGAATTTTTCCTTTGGCACTTCTCTAATCCTATTCACTTTCCCAAAGATGATGGTGATTAACGATTTAGTGTGTATGCTTCTAGACCCTTTTCTATGCATTTGTAAACCTAAAAAGACAAATACACATAAAGTTATTTTTGAATTATAATATCATACTATGTATACTGTTATGTAAAACATTTAATCTTTAAAATATTTATTTAATCTTTCCACATCAGTTTATATAAATTTACATCATCACTTTTTAACAGTTACATAGTATTCTTCAGTGGTGAACCACTATTTATGTAATCTTCCCCATGGTAGTCCATTACTAGAGAGCTGGTGTTCCTCTTTGGGGGTGTGCTTACCGTTTGAGTCTTCATACTTTCAGAGTTCTTTCGCTGGTTCCTTCCCATCCAAATCGGTTGTTCCTTCTTGCCTTTAGATTTTCGTTTGGATAATGACACACGCTGTTTAGTCTCTGAGCCAGAAGGTGGTGTTTGTGGGTGAGATTCGATCACACCCTTTATGATGAATCAGTAGATGCAGTAAAAGGGTGTGCAGGATGACCTCCCTTGTCAGCAGGTGGCACTTGCAGGGAGGAGCGAGCTGCAGTGCTGTTTTTGAGTCCTGTAGCCAGCTCTTGTTCCTCTGGAGAGGCTCTCTTGTGCCTCCGGAGGTGGATAGGGTCCTGGGATTTCCAAGTGTGTCCTTATTCTCCACGTCAGTGGGGGCAGTGAGTCTGGATGGGGCTGGGTTGGGTAAGCCTGCCCTCAGGCTCCACAACTGCTGTTAGCAGGGGTCAAAGGTCTGTTCTTTGCTTCTGTGCAAAGCTGCCCGGAGGGGGCTGAAATGGCTTGGAAAATACTATATTTTTGACCGCTGACAAAACAGTCTATCCCTGGTCTGGTGGAGGCTCACTGGGAGCGCGCGCCGGGCGGGCTCGGCCTATTTTAAATGTTTAATGTACAAATGTATCTATCTCTTCTCTGGTACTCTGCCTTGCAAACTCTTGCTTCCTTTTCTTCCCCATAGTCCCAACTCATCTCTTTATGGAGGCTGCTGGGCTTCACCTGGGTTTCCCTTTTTGCACTATGGCCTGGAAAACTCTCTCCAGGCGGTAAGCTGGACATTCGTAGGGCTCACCTTATTTGTTTTTCCTTTCTCTCAGGGATCACTGTCCTTCGCTGCCGGATTTACAGTGCCTTGAAAACCACTGTTGCATGTATTTGTCCTAGTTTTTTTTTTGTTTGTTTTTTGCAGTTGTTTTAGGTTGAAAGTGTAAAACTAGTCTCTCTTGCCCTATGTTGGCTAGAATAAGAAGTAGCTGTTATAGTCTTTTCAGGGGACAATCTTGCCTCTTATATCAGAATTTTAAATGTGCTTGTCTTTTAACGCTACAATCCTAGGCACTCTTCTAGGTTCTGGAGTCAACTTGACAAACATATTTCCATATATCTTCAAATCTAGTTGGGAGACAGACAACAAACAAAATAAGTAAAATATATACTGTATTAGAAAGTGATAAGAAATGATGAAGAGAAAAAAATTAAATAGGAAAGGGAGATAGGAGTGGTGAACGGAGGCAAGCATGTCAAACTTTTAGATATATTAACCTGGAAGGCCTTAGTGATGAGAAGAGTGTATTTAACTAGCATCCTGGAGGACTTCATAGAGCAAGCAATATGGATATCTGGAGAAAAGGCAATCCAAGTAGAAGAAATAGTGCAAAAGGCTAGTGTATTTGATGAATAGCAAGGAATATCTGTAACACGTACTACAGTGTCTGAGCGGAAGATCCCAAAATGTTAACTCTTCAGAATATTATTACTAACAGTGGTGGAACCAGGAATATGACCTTGAACTTGATGGCCTCAATGCTCATCTGCTTGCTACTGTGTCATAGAAATATGCTCATAGCTTGTGATTGTTCATGTATTATTCCTTATCATCGTGTACCTTTTACACAGGCCTGTCTTGTGTTTCCAATCTTGTAATTTCCATGACTTTGTAGCCTATTTTGACCTTTGCCTGATACGATGTTCAGTTCTGACATTTCTCTTCACACTCATCAGTGGGGTTGATTTTTGTTGTTCTCACTGTCTGGACAGTGATACCCTTCCTTCTTCACCACCTAAGTGTGTTGTCCCAAAGTGTATGCATTCTGGCCGAAAGGTCAGTCTTCCCAGAGAGTGGAAATCCCTTAAATACATATGAGATGCTACATAAAAATTCTAATCATAGCTCCTCCTTCATGCCTTCAGCATTCCTTATAGCATCCAAGGCACTTTGTTTTTGCTTTTTAATTTTATTTTACTTCTATGTTTTTTGAATAGGTGATGTATCATGGCATAGAATTTTAAAAGAACAAAATAATGCAGGAGGAAAAAATAAGTTTTCCTCCCTCTTTTCCCCAGCTGATCATTCTTCTTGCCTTGAGACAAACAATGTAACCAGATTCTTTGGTATCCTTTCAGAAGTATTGAGTGCATATGTGTATATGTGCATGTAGGTGTGTTTACTCTCCTTCTACACCCCATCCTCCCCCATACAATGCACCTGGCCACCCTTTTCACTTGATTGTTATCACATCCTGTGAGGTAGGTGTTGCTATCCTCATGTTACAAATGAGAAAGCTGAGGCTCAGAATAGGAGGTAACTTGCTTAAGGTCTCCCAGGAAGTAAGTGGAAAATGCAGGCCTGATGTTGCAGTCTTTTGTTAGTATTCTTTCCTCTGTGTTAAGAAGTTTCACGTCCTTTGCCTTGGGCGTGATAGGAAACAGCTAAGCACTTTGAGCAACTGCCGTGGTTAAGAAAACCCCCCTAATTCCTTTACTCATATTACTATTCATGTTGCTAGCTCTAGATATAAGGCTGGCAGGCATCAACTGGTGGGTAGCATTAGGAAGACAAAAACTTAATTTAATTGTTTCCTTGATATCTTCCTTCTCCCTCCACAGATCTATTTAGGTCCACCTGAAGAAAGTGCTGCACCCCCAGTGCCTCCGCCTCGGGTGACAGCAAGAAGGCACAAACCAATCACGATTTCGAAGCGCTTGCTGCGGGAAAGGACGGTTTTCTATACTTCTTCCCTGGATGAAAGTGAAGGTCAGCACTGAGTGGGTGGCGATTAGACACAAAGATGATATTGATGGGTAGAAGTGGAGGTGTGGCCATCGTTCTCCATACAAAGGTAGACCTTTCCTGCCTTCTGGGCTTAAAAGCAGCTAGGGGAAAGCAAGGTTTGTAGTTTGTATTCAGACAGGAAATTAGTCCTTTGGAAGTGGATAGGATGAGGTTGTAAAGGGAACTCACATGATCCCTTACAAGGTGAGCATGGGATCCAAGATATTCTCATATCTTATGCCCCAAATACATTGAAATGAGTGCGCAGGATGCTTTCTGAATGTTCTGAGATTTTAATGTCAAGTACGGCTAACCTGGATTGAATGACTGCCATGTGCCAGGCACTGTGCTAGATGCTAGTTGAAATTAAGACACGTTCTCTGGCCTTGCAAGATAAAAGGAGACATAGATATGTGAACGCACATAAATGCCATTCAATGGAGTAATTGCTGGTATGGAGCCTATACCATCTAAATGGGTCTGTGTCCCTTCTACTCCACTGAGACCACTTTTGTCAAGGTTATCGATAATCTCCATGTCGCCAAACCAAATAGCCACTCCACTGCTCTCATCTTACTCAGTTTGTGAGTAGCATTTGACACAGTTGACCAGTTCCTCCTCCTTGAAAGACTTAATTCACTTGGCTTTCAGGACACCAAATTCTCCTACCTCACTAGATAATCCATCTCAGTCTCCCTTAAATGTTGGGATGCCCCAGAGCTTTTTTCATAGCCCTCTTCTCTTTGTTCTTTTCCTGTGTGAGCTCATTAGGTCTTAATATGGTTTTAAATATCATTTAAATGTTGAAGTCAATTTCCAAATTTATTTTATCTCTAGGACCGATATCTCCTATCTATTGCCATCTCCAACTTCCGGCTCAACAGTTTTCCTTGAATGACTCATGGGCGTGTGAAATATAACCAGCTCCTACGCTGATCTCCCCCATATAAGTAATTGGTAGCACTAGTCACCCAAGTGCTAAGATCAAGAACTTTGGAATCATCCTTGATTACTCTTTTTCCCTTTTCCCTCACATCTAATCCATCAGCAATGCCTGTCAGCTCTACATGCCCATTATTTGGTAAATCCTACTATGATGGTTGAGCCACTATTATCTCTTACTTGGTATCCTTATTTGCCTTCTCGCCTGCCTTTAATACATTCTTCCCAGCAGCCAGTAAAATGTACATCCTTAAAAAAATCAGATCACCTCACTCCCTCTGTCCCAACTTTTCAGTGACATCTCTTCATGTTTAGAATAAAATTTACATTTTATTCTATATTATATGACCCCTGCTTGTCTTTCTGACTTTTACTTCTGAACTTCACTTTCTCTCTGTCTCCTTTGATTTGTGTGCTCTAATCTTATTGCTCTTGCTATTCCTTATATGTGTCAAATGTACCTAAGGGCCTTTACATTTTCTGCTCTCTTAGCCCTAAACATTCTTCCTGCAGAACTTCCATAATGCTCACTCCTACATTCAGATCTCTGCTCAGTGTCATGGCCTTGTAGAGACCTTTTCTGAACACTCTACTCAAATAGTTTTTTCTCCTCCTCCAGTCACTCCCTATCCCTTTACACTGCTTTATGCTATTCATATCTCCTGCTATAATGCTATTTATTCACATATTTACTGTCTTTCCCATTAGAATGTAAGATCTATTTTATCACCAGTTCCCAGAACAACTCCTGGTACATATTTCATGTGTTCATTAAATATTTCTAGAAAGAATGAATTTATGTAAAAGGAATGATGAAGATAAAGGGATCACCTCTTACATAGAGGAGGTGAGCTGGCATTTGAGAGAAAGTGGAAGGTAACATTGAATACCTACTCTGCTGTCCTGTAATGTTATTTTAATGGAATAAATTTGTTTGTTTATATACAGTCTCCCTAAATACAAACTCTATTTCAGTATAAACAATTTTTTCATACTTCTCAGCACCAGTGCAGTATCTAGCACATAGTACAATAAATAAATGAATTGGGTTTCATTTGACCTATGGTCTAATTTCATGTTGGCCGCTAGCCTGCTTAGTAAGTTGAGCTAGTCACTTCCCCTTTCTGGACCCCAGTGTTCCCTCTGTGTGATGAGGGCTTTGTGCCAGAAGATCACCAATGGGATCACCCAGTCTAGACAATTATTTTTTTTATTTTTAACTTTTAAAAAAAACTGAATATAATTCATATGCCATAACATTCACCCTTTTAAAGTGTACAATTCAGTGGTTTTAGGTATCTTCCAATTCACCCCTCCCCCAACCTCTGACAATTACTAATCTCCTTTCTGTCTCTACAGATTTGCCTGTTCTGCACATTTCATGTAAATGGAATCATACAACATGTGTTCTTTTGTGCCTGGCTTATTTCTCTTAGCATGTTTTCAGGGTTCATCAGTGTTGTAGCATGTATCAGTAGTTCATTCTTTTTTATGTCTGAATAATATTCTGCTGTATGGATATACCACATTGTATTTATCCGTTCATTAGTCGATGGACAGTTGGGTTGTTATTTAACTTTGGCTGTTATGAATAATGCTGTTATGAACATTGATTGACAAGTTTTCATATGGATGTCTATTTTCAATTATCTTGGGTATATACCTGGTACTGGAATTACTGGATCACATGGTTGCCGTACATTTAAACTTTTGAAGAATGGCCAGGCTGTTTTCCAAGGTAGTTTCACCATTTTACTTTCCCACGAACAATGGATGAGGATTCCATTTCTCCATATCCTCACCTACACTTGGTATAGTCTGCCTTTTTGATTCTAGGGGCTGTGAATCCATAATCTCATTTAATCTTCAAAACTTTTGTATAAGGTAGGTATTTGAGCTCCATTTTCTAATGAAGTCATTGGAAGCTCAGAGAGGGTGAGTAGTTTTCCCAATTAACACAGCTACCAAATGACAGAACAGCAATATGCATTCATATATCTTATTCCAAAGCTCATTTGTCTGCTGTAATATATTATACTTACTATAGCCTGTCTGAACACTGTTCTAAGAAGGAGCCAATTCTTCTACTCAACACCGTTCTTTACCAGTATCAACCATTATCTTACCCCCAAACTTGTTATCCACCCCCCACTTTTTTTAAGAGACAGTGTCCAGCTCTGTCGGCAATGTTGGAGTGCAGTGGCGAGATCATAGCTCACTGCAGCCTCGAACTCCTGGGCTCAAGTGACCCTCTTGCCTCAGCCTTCCTAGTAGACACATGCTAACACACTTGGCTTATTTTATTATTTTTTGTAGAGATAGGATCTCCATGTATTGCCTGGGCTGGCCTCAAACTCCTGGCCTCGAGCAATCCTCCTGCTTCAGCCTCCTAAACTGCTGGAATTATAGGCTTGAGCCTCCACACCCAGCTGCCTTCGTATATATTATGGTATTTTCGTGACTCCCTCTGCCATCTTCATGAATTACTCACACCCTGTATCTGAGCCCTTTCTATTCCACCTTTTTAACCTCTCTAGAATCCATCTCTGCTGCTTCTATTCCAATTTAGATCCTTTTCATCAGCAGTCCCCTAGGTGGTCTCCCTACCTTAGCCTCTGTGGTCTAATCTACTTTTCATAATAAACACAAAGGGATACCCTAAAAACACATATTCCATAATGACACTTCTTTGCCTCCCCCCCACCCCCTAAAGTCATTGTCCTTTGTGGCCCAAAGATAAAGTTCATATTCCTGAGCATGGCGTTCACAGCCTCCATGATATAGCCCCAACGTATATTAAAATCACATCTCCAGCTACCCACTTCTTTCATCTAAATTTGGCTCCTATGCTTAAGCCAAGCTAAACTTTTTATTTGTTTATTATTGTTATTTTTACATATTCTTAGACAAACCATGATCTTTCACTCCTCCGGGTTGTTTTTTGAAATGTCCTTTCCCGTTTTCTCCACTTATTGCAGTCCTTCAAGGCCCAGCTCAAATGTTACCTCTTTTATAAGACCCTCTCCATCCTTTCCAGACAGTATTAGTACTGTCTTCCTTGCAGCACTTATTTGGATGATTCTACTTGTATTATAATAAATGATCTATTTCTCCTGCTTGACTCATGTGCAGCCTGTCAAAGCTTCTCCCCACTACTTACCCACGCATAGAGGAGAGGCTCCAGTTTCAGGCTTGGCCACGTGCCTATTCTTGAGGCCTCTCTGTCTCACCCTGATTCACCTCCAGTTCTTTGCAGTTTCTGAGTCTGGTCTGTATGTTTTCCTGTGGAAATGGATGGCTGGTTAGGGAAAGGGATGGCACTAAACTCTTATTACCTGACAAGAGCAATGAATTCTTTCTTCAGAAAGAGTTTGGACTCTGGAAACAGACTTGCATATTTGAAACCTGGCTCTGCCACTTACTAGCTTTGTGACATCGAATCAGTCTGTGCCTTAGATTCCTTATTTGTAAAATGCGGCTAATAAGGGTTTACTACTTTATAGAGTTGTTTTGAGGATTATATGAGGTAATCCACGCAAAACATTTAGAATAGGGCCTGGCACAGAGTAAGTGTTCAAATAATGGTATTTGTTATGGTTGTTATCGTTGTCATTATTATTACAATTGCCACTATTATCATTATTTTTATTCAGCACACCCAAGAACCTGGAAATGATTACCCTAACAGAAAGGCCTACCTCCAAAGTCACCATTGCTCCTATCATTCCATATCCTATTTTCCTGAGCATATTCCTGAGAATATTCTTTCCTGAGTGGAAGGCAGCCTTTCTGAGATTGTGTATGTGAATCTCTTTTATAAAGATTGGACCTATTAACACCGTATTGAGGCGGTGATTATACTATTACAGCCTGCAGGGCACAGGCAATCCCTGTTGTCTCCCCTAAAGGAGAGAAGGGATTGAATTTCCTAGGGTCTCTGCACTGGAAGAAGCAAGTGTTCAGACAGGAACATGCAACTGAAATGTTGGGCAAAAGCATGTGGGAGAAAGAATTCATGTCACCGTCTACTTCATTTCTCAGAAAGGGTGGATATGCTTGCGGTTACCCCTGAGTGCTGGATGTTTAAAGGTGGCCTCTGCCACAATGCCGGTCCCAGAAGCCAAGTGATCTATTAGGTTGGTGCAAAAGTAATTGCAGTGTTAGTGTTGAAATTTGCCATATGATATCGGAATACATTCTTAAATAAATGTGGTTATGTTCTACATCATTTTAATGTGCATTTCTTGCTTTATGTTTTTTGCTAATGACTTAACAGTAATGCTTGCTGTTTATATTTATTTTAGACTATGGAAATGATGTTAGACAAAAAGCAAATTCAAGCATTTTTCTTATTCGAGTTCAAAATGGGTTGTAAAGCAATGGAGACAACTCACAACATCTACAACCCATTTGGCCCAGGAACTGCTAACAAGCATACAGGGCAGTGGTGGTTCAAGAAGTTTCGCGAAGGAGACGAGAGCCTTGAAAACGAGGAGCGCAGTGGCCGGCCATCGAAAGTTGACAATGGCCCATTGAGAGCAATCACTGAAGCTGATCCTCTTACAGCCACGTGAGAAGTTGCCGAAGAACTCAATGTCGACCATTCTATGGTTGTTCGGCATTTGAAGCAAATTGGAAAGGTGAAAAAGCTCGATAAGTGGGTGCCTCATGAGCTGACCAAAAATCAACAAAATCATCATTTTAAAGTGTCGTCTTCTCTTCTTGTATGCAACAACAGCAAATCATTTCTTGATCGGATTGTGACGTTTAACGAAAAGTGGATTGTGTATGACGACCAGCTCAGTGGTTGGACTGAGAAGAAGCTCCAAAGTACTTCCCAAAGCCAAACTTGCACCAAAAAAGGTCATGGTCACTATTTGGTGGTCTGCTGCCTGCCTGATCCACTACAGCTTTCTTT